TACTTGAAACCATAAAAAGTATAATTGATTATTAAAAAAATTAAAAATAGATAAAATTTGAATTTTATGTAGGATACAATTTTTTGGGGTTTTCAAAATAATGTACTAAAACATTAAAAGTAATAAGTTCAAATCTGTAGCAAATATAAATATTGTAATCATTTCTTATAAATACGATTTCCTAATGTAATTTTCCAAGATATTAAAGATCATAATGCAAAAAAACTAAATTTATTAAAAGTAACAGACTTTATGTTTCTTAAACTACCTACATTTATCAAAGTATTTATGAATTTTCGAAAATATTCGTCCACTAGTTTTATTGTTGGAATGAAATATAGCAAGACTTGCATTGCCTACTAAGAAAGTTAGTAGCCGGTAGTCTTCGGGTTAATTTGTACACTTGAAGGTAAGTTGAAACAAGATGGAAAGTGTAAGAAACTCTTGTGGATTAACTAATTGACTTTGGAGTTTATTTAACAATAAATTTGAAGATAAAACATCAAAATGGGTTAATTTTATGAAATGAAAAACATCACGTAATTTAGATTGATATACAAAAGTAAGCTCCAAGCATTTTTATAAGTGTTATTATGTACTTAGAAAAGTAATTTCTGTAACTATTTCAAATCAGGTAGATCCACCTCTGAAATACTGAAAGCCATTCCTTGTTTAGTTTGAACTCATTCTGTCAGTGAAATGTGACTAAACATTTCTCAGTATATTTTATGTATTCATTAAATATTCATAAAAGTATTCATCACTTATCCATAATTCTACAGTCTCCCATCTTCCACTTATTGCACAAGTATCAGGGGATCTTACGCAAGCTCTGCTTTCCTGACATAACTTACATTTTCTTGTTGACAGTTGTGCTATTCACTTTGTTTCAATGTTCATTCTGATGCAACTATATCTGCCACTATCAGAATTTCTGTGACTTAGTTTTAGAGGCCTTATTTATGCAATTGGCCTGTAGTTTGAAGAGCAAATTGTAGCTGCTTGGTCAGCTCTGATGGTTCAAGTATGTGATGTTGTATACTGATATTCCTAGCAGGTCTAATGATTGTGTGGATGCTTAATTTGTGTAAATATTGTTAGTTTCTTGCTCAAGCCTAATTTCCTTCCGAGTCTGCAGAGCTAGATTTATTTTCCACGGTGCTAGCCCTAATTCTGACGACACTCCTGCTTGTCTCATTTCTCTTTCTCTCAGATATGTTATTTATTTTCGATATGGAACCTACTTCCCTTAAACCTGAAGATGCATGTGTCATTATAGATGATTTCTGTACTTGATTCTTTTTTCTCCCACCTTCTATTATTGGGATGATGAATATTTTTTGAAATTAGCCATGTATTCATACACTTCATATTTCCCTTCTACTCTTCCTTACCAAGTTTTTAACCCTCAGTTTGGTTCTTGAAGGGTGAAAGTCTTTTATTTTGATCTATCATTAGATTTTTGCCCTGCACACTATGACTTGTTTTGTTTTGGGACATTTTTTCTTCATTATTTTTAGTTATTATTTTGATTCTTTTAATCAGGATCACATATCTACTTTGATGTCTTCCTACCTGTCTCACTGCTGTTGTTTTTGCTTCAACGTGGCTGTTATGTTCCTTTGACACTTTCACTCGTTGAGCTGTGTTGCAAGGTACCCATCTGTTTAATCAGCTGAACCTGCTTCATTTTTTTGCCTTTTTAGGTTTTTTCCTTAACATGTTTCCCATTCAGAGGAAGCTTGCCAACAGGAGTTGATTAGAGGTTTTGGCATCAATTTTTTTTTTTCAATTTGTTATTACTTTCTAGAGTCCTGTGTGTAATGGTTTTCAATGTTCACTTCATGTATTTATACTTTTAGTGTGATGAATGTAAGCAAGGTGGGACTTTGTGATTCACTCCTTGACTCTCTGTTCTAGGTGACTCCTTCATCTGGACTTTTGTGGGACATCTCAGATACTTGATCATCTTTTGACTATTTTGACCGTGGTGACATATATCAACAGGCAGACTGGGACTCCTTGATGTCACAAACTTTGTTTGCTGCAGCTTCTCTGCTTTTGTGTCTATATTCACATCATGTCTTTCTCTGAACTGGTATTTCATTCATGTGCTAATGATTCTCTCATCCTATGTTTGAAGAATTCAGTATGGCAGTGCATCATCTGATGCTTTACTGGTTTCCAGATCTGGATCAAACTTTTCAAAGTTTTTTTTTCTACATTCCTACTCTTTCTTTCCTCTTTTTTTTTTCAAGTATTGGCCAAGATTAGTTGGTCCCATTATCCTGTTATCTCATTTTCATTCCTCTCTCTTATCTCACGGAGTCCTATTCCATTATTTTTTGTTACATCTTCCATAATGATGTTTGTGGTTTACAATTTCACAGATAGCTATTATTATTAATGTTTGGTCCATTGTTACTAAAGCTGGCTTCTCTTCTTGCATTGCTTGAATATTCTCACATTCCTGCAGATGATCCTCCCTGGTCTATATTTTGGAGTTGGTGTCAACAGAATTTAGTTTCACATCTTTTTCTAACTCATTAACAGCATGTCTAATTTTATTTCTTCTGAGACTGTCAGATATAAAAGACTGTTTAGTGTAGGTAGTATTCATTAATGCATTTTGTGAGTTAATATTTTATGATTGTTTAGTTGTTTTTTTATAATAAGAGAGTTAAAAAACGGACATTTATTGGAAGATGTATTTATAATTCATTGATGTTGAGGCTATCTAATGTCCAATGTCGAGGATATAGAGATTTCTAGAAGGCGAGCATACGATTAAGTGATAAATATATAAATAGTGTGGGATGAGCGGGAACAGCAGACAGACAGACAAAGACAAAGCAGATGACATGTAAAGTTATGAGAAGGAATTAAGCCAAAGAAAAGTTAAATACAAAGTTAATCTTTGTAGGACTGGAAGGCCTAACAATTAGTATAGGTCTAACAGTTAATATATTGGAGTGAGACTAGTTGTGTTGAAAGAGATAAGAAGAATAGTTTATTTCATCAAAGGAGTTCTAAAGTAATTGAACTAACCTCAGTGGACTTTGACAAATAGAGAAAAAGGAGTAAATGATTTTAGAAGTATAAGATACAACTGTGGTAACTCAACAATAAAGTAAGTGATCTATACTCAGATAGTTTGGTGATAGTAATAGAGAAAAATAGTTCGGTTTGTCAACTGAAATTCTTAAGCAATTGAATAGGCATAAATGGACTTTTGACAAGAAGAAGAGAACTATATTGTGTATATGATATGCCTGTGATCTCTATAGTTTAAAGAACTTGTTGTACATACATTAATTAGTTCCGATTATATATATATATATATATTATTTTGAACACAAGTGGAGTGAGTACTGTTCATTGATTTTTTAATTTATCAGCAATGAGTCACAGACACCTACTGTAGAAGAATCCTTAGCCAAACACACCCATATGTTTACTTACTGTATATACATACTATAAAAAGTAAGTTTTTTGTGACAGAGACAATACCTCACTTCCACACACAAAATAGTATGATCCCTGGCACATCTGCCTATGAGATTTACATGCACTAACTAGTCTTGATCTAACTCCTATCTAAAAATCACACATTTAACTTGAACTGCATTACTGCATGATGACATCATCATTAGATGATAGTCCTCCACCAGTAGGAGGATAACACAACCTCCTTGTGCAGTAATTTCCCCTAAGCACTTGCTCTTGAAATAACTTCATTCTTTTCTTCAGCATTGTCTCGAATGGATGAGTTTTAAAACTTATTAGTTAATTACATGAGATTTGCGATAGTTTATGAAACTTGACTTTCATTCAAGTTGAAATTTTTCTTTCTTCGTAAAGAAAGAGAAAATTATTTTTTCTTTTCCAGCTTACCAATTATGTATTCTCAAGTGATGGTTACTTCTGCTTTTTCCTGTGATGGTGATGATGTTATTAACATGGGATATGTCTATTGTAGCTATTGGAGACTTGTTTGTAGAGGAAGTGATAGCTATTGTGGATTCTGTCATGAACACAGGGGTTTCTCCTTGCACCCATTCTGCTGACATTCTTTTTCCTCAAGAACATGACCATGATGATGATGATTTGGACTTGCTATTTCCCCACCAGGTTTTGCTTTATTTGAGGAAGAAAATCCTCACCCTTATAATTTGGTTATTCATTCTGCATTATGAATTCTATGTTACCACTTCGGATGTTATATGTTCTATTAGCAAATTTTCACAGGCTTCAGGTCGTGGTACTCTATGGGAAGATTTTCAGCTTTACTTTGTTGCGAGATTGATCGTCCAATGAACTGATTTTCATTGGGCCTTGCCTAGAGTTTGGGGGCCCACACATTTTCTTCAGTACATCATGTCTCATACATATGTTCTTGTTACTACACACTTTCTTAATTTTATACAATCATGTCTGTTTCATTTTCATTATTATTTCTCTTTTATCCTTTTACCTATTTGGCTTGTGTGGAATTGTTGAGACGGGGTCCACACAAACTTCTCCCAATATTGTATGTACTTATTGTTAGGTTAAGTTTTAACTTTAGTGCTTAGTGATTTCCTTTGTTCTGTATTGTTCAATTATGTTTCACAAGTGTTTGTTATTTTCGGTTTACCTGTAATTCTACTTCCAAGTTAATTAATCAATAATTAGGTTAAATATCTTATTTGATTAGGCTTAATAAGTGTCTGTTATTTCAGTTTACCCATGGTTCTATTTATGGGTTAATCAATAATTTGATTAAATATGTTTTCTTCAACACATACATATGTTTATTTCACTACACAATTTCTTAACATTTCCACTATATCGACTACTTCATTTTCGTATTTCTTTATAGTTTATATTTCTTATCATTGATTTCATTTACTTTGTACTTCTTACCATTAATTTAATTTAATTTATAATTTATACTTATTACTGTTAATTTTGTTTGTGAAGGCCTCGGTGGGCTGGGGTTTACCCTACTTGCTTCCAATATTGCTAGCCTTCCTACTATAATGGCTGAACCCATTTTCAGACGATCTAGATTTTGTCAGTTTTCCTCCATCTTCTCATGGATTGCCTTCCAGGCCTCTACTGCAGAATTTGCTAGGTCTCTATCAGTTTTTTTTTTTTAGACACATTTTACAGTATATTCCCCTTCTTGGGACATTGTTTCATTATGATCGTTTTGTCTATCTTTTGAGAGTGGGTACTTGCAAGCCTCACCCTATACAGGTTTTAATTATTTTTGCCTTACCTTACCATCAGGCAGATTTTCTTCCTGATTTTATGTCATTCACCTCTCTGTTAATCCTATCCATTTTATCCCCTATCTGGTTTGTTTTTTAGCTTTGTTTTACCCTATCCACACTCCTACAGTTAATGTTCACCTTCCCTCTCCTTTCTTTGGTTTTCCACTTATATTTAGGGATTTTCATAGGATACCTCCTCCTTCTTCCCTCCATATTGGGGTATTTATCATCTTCAGTTTGCTTCCTCCACACATGGCTTATTTGCTTTTAGGACACTGCCATTTACCGTCAGTTGCTATTAGGGTCTTATGTTTAGTTCTTTTTTGGTCCATTTCTTGGGCTACTCCTGTCCATTCAGTGTCACTTGGGGTATCTGCGATGCTATATTAATTTTTTTTAAATTTGCTCTTTTATTTCATTCTGAGAAATTTTCCATCTTTATTCATTTTATATGATTGGTACCTGTCTGTCCTTTACCTATCTTACCTATGGGTTTTCTTCATTTGCCTTGTTTATTTGATGCTGATTGGGGTTCTGGATCGACCAGTCCCACCTCTATCACTTCTTGGGTCTTCCCTGTTTTAATATGTTGTCTTTGATCACATTTGAGTAAGCTGTTTCTGCAGGACTGAGAATACCCACTGTACATGCTCTTATCTTCAGTTTTTTCACCATGTGATTAGATAGCAGTTTCATGCTTTGAACTTGGGACTTGTTTTGGTTCCATATGTCTTTTGTGGGGTAGTCTGTATTTTACCCAACTTCCACATTTGAGGGATTTTACAAACACCATTCATTGGATGTCTTACTTTGGTTAACTCCTTTCAAACACGGGTAGTCTTAACATAATCTTCTACTTCTTCCACAGTTGGCTTGGGTAGTTGGATAAGTTTTTCCTGTTACATACCTCACATTTTAGTCTCTTTGGGGTGTGTATTTTTTACACCCCCTCCATCGGGACCATCCATTCTCCTCCTCGAATGCATTTGAAGGTGTTTTTTGTTATCCAAGCCTGTACTTTTTGTTTTTCCTTTTAATTTTCATCCTTCCCTTTTTGTCTATATGTATTGATAGTTGAACATATGCCCCAAGATGTCGGGTTTACCTCTTCCTTCCCCTCTTCTGGATTGTTTTTCTTCTCTGATGCTCATCTTCAAAGGTAGGGGGTGTAGTTCTATCAGTAGGAAGCTTCAGGATAATGGTCCATATCAAAAGGTCTTATCTCCTTCACACTCGGATACTTCCGCCTGTCCAAAGTGCTTTAGTTTTTACTCTTCTTCTTGTCCGGTTTGAATAATCCTATTTCATTTTTACTTTTTAATGGTGGTGGCTTATATCACTCACCAAGGAGACACTCCTTCTTCTTATTCTCTTTAAGGTACTCTATAGATTTCCTTTTTTTAACCCACACTCTTGACATATGTCTCCTGGCTGGTCATGTTCCAGGTGCTTTGTTCTCATTGCTAATTGATGTTACACTCCTGACACACTTTCTCCTAATGAGTGACCTCTCAATGCTCCTAATGTTTGGTGACTCTGCCTTCTGTGGGGTACACTTCCATGTGAAGTTTTTGAATCTTTTATCAATTTCTAGTTAGTTACCTCTCTTGTTTTTGGTTTCTGGTTCATCATCCACTGGCTTTCGTTAAGTTCAGACAACTTTATATTAGTTTTTTCTCATTCCATCAGTCTTCTTCCCAAACATTTTGTGCATCCTTATCACTCCAGTTCAGATCTTTCTGATTGATCTTTCCTGGCTGTCACTGCTTTGGTTTACTTGGCTGTTCTGATTGATTTGATTAACCTACATTTTAGTGGCTCATGTGGTATATTTTTTCGACTCTTTCATTTCATACCACCTTCCAGATTTCTTCTCAGAGGGATTAAGATGACTACACTATACACACACTGACCTAAAGATGAAAGGCAGAAGACTTTCGAAATGTCATCCTCTACACTTGTGTTTCTACAACAGGCAGTTGCCATCCATTCAACTAAGTTTCATTATGATCCTCTTTTTTACCCACATGTGGATGTCGGTACCTGATGGCCAAGTTTTGGATTGTAGTTGACTTACTGATGTCATGATCCTCATCCTACCCCCATGTGGATGTCGGTTCTCAGTGGCATGGGTTTTGGATGTAGTTGACTTGCCATGTATGGTCTGTTATGCCCTAGCCACTCTACACCTAGGGGTACATCCTTTTAATATGGGATTGAGTTTCATAAATATTGTATGGTTCAGATCTCTATCCTGCCATAGTTCTCTCCCACTTGGATGTGCTCCTCCATTTTTCTGCCTATGATGGGAAAAGAGTATACCTGGTTCAGAAGTGGTGTGGTCTCCCACATCAGATCTTTGATTCTGAATACCTCCTCTTGGGGAGTGTCCTTTGGATGCTTCTTTCTTTTCCTTGCACCAGTCCCTCCACCTATTAAATGTGGAATTCTAGCTATTTATTTGAGTAGAGGTAATGTACCATATCAGAAGCTATAATTTTCCTATACTGAAAATGTATTTCCAGTAGATACTTACCACCTCTCACACTTACCATCCTTCCTCCCCACTGAAAACTGGTGCTTCCATTTTCTGCCAAAACTCGAAGTGATACATTGGTAGAATTGAATAGAGGGAGCAACATGCATCAAAAGAGTATGGCACACTCTTATTAGTGGAGGGTTTTCACATAATGATTAGCATGAGAGACACATTGTAATCAGTCAATTCCAAATGAATGGGAGCATCAAGGCTTGTGCTATGTGCAAAAAATGTTTTGTGTATAGAGGGCAGCACTAAACAAGTATAGATATTTATGTGGAAATACATTTTCAGTATAGAAAAATTATAACTAGATATATTTAATATTTTTTTTATGGTTATAAGGTCAGTCAAATTGACCAACCTTGTATTGAGTTAGGGTAGAGAAATAACAAATAAAATACATATTTGAAAAAAAAGTTTGAAATTTATTTAAGAAGTTTTATAGATTATACAAATGAAATTTGAGATTTTTCAGATAATGAAAAGTATTTTTAATCTTAACATAACAATCACTTTGCACTCAGAGCAGTGAACACTTTGACTCCTTACATTCATGGAGAAATTATTAGTAAAAATACTCAATTAAAGATTCAGGTTTTTTGTGTAACAAAGACTTGTAATATACACCTGGAAAAAAGTTAAGCACCCCCGTGTTTTTTTCAAGTGATTCAGATTCGACGTTCTTGTGACTGATTATAAATTACCATTCAATCTAAACGTGTTTATCAAATGAAATTATGCA